GTCCATAGAGCAATACAATCATATACAAATAGGCAAAAAAGTTAAAAAGTTTCCAAGTCACCTGTAATCAAAATAACGATGAAGATTCTCCAATGCAGAAAAATAGTCATCATGATAAAGACTATTCAAGTAACGCAAAAAGTGAACCTGCATCAATAAAAGAGAGGCAAAAGTGATTAGTGTCAGAGCTTAAGTAATGCAAGTCACACTACCAACAAAAAGCAAGAGGAAGAAAGAGAGAGCAGGTAGAACTTAATTAACCAAGTCAACCTACACGATGGAGCTCAGGGGCCAACTTCTGAAGCTGCCTTAGAGTCAGTTCAAAGGCATTCAAAGTGAAAGAACTGCCATCCCTGCCACAGAATGATGTGTAATTTAGTTCAATTTAATTAGCATTTCCAAAGTCGAAAATGAAAGATGGTAAAATGTCAATAACTGGCCTACTTTTCAATTGCATCAGCTTGCTCCATTAAGTAACCTTGTATTTGCCAATTGGTGCGCAAAAATACCCCACCATTGAGGTCAACATCTCTCAATAAATCACCAGAAGAGGAATATGAAGAAGATTCTCTGCCTTTGTCATTGTGTTCTGATTTAGGATCAGCAAAAACCTCAATATCTGCATGTTAATTTCGAAACTGATAAGCAACAGACCAATACAATGGTACAGATTTAAAATAAAAGCACCACAATAACTTTACAATCATTCAATTTTGATAAATAAAACAAAACTTTTCAAAACCATAAACTCCAGTTTAGGACACGTTAACTAAAAGAAAAAGTTTAGGCAACAGAACAGAAACCTAATTATGTGCCTATTAAGGCGATGAGGAGAAGGACAATTAAAAACAAAGTAGCATCAACCACAAGAAATAAGAGTATCTTCATATTGATGCAGAGTGCATTTTGCATTATTAATGAGCTTGCCACGGTTAAACACCACCCAAACAAAGATCCCTTGTGTTTTACTTTAAGAATGATGAAAGTATTGTAGACTCAACAAATAGATATATTGGCTTCTGCCGTATAGTTGTTGTGATACAACATATCGTTTTAGCAGTATGTCAATCAAAAATTGCACTAAAATCCTACCATCATTGCAAATATAACCATTAGTCCCCTTTCAAGCAGCAGACAGTAATAACTAACAAACATAAAAACAATCTTACTAGAATGAAACTACCTTCAACCAATGTCGATAGTTCCTTTGGAAGATGAAGATGAAAAGAAACTCGTTCAGTCGCTCTTTTCCTTGCTTCCATTTCTTCATTTATTTTTTTAAAAACAAGATTGAGATCCATGTTCTCATACTCAGACAAAGATTCCAAGTCATTACCAGAATCGTCTAACCGACGCAATTCATACGATGAACAACTTGAAATTGCTTCTTTACAATAGATCCCTATATTTGTCAAAAGATGGCAAATACCCTGCATTACATGACAAAAGTTAGTGGATACAACATAGTCTATGCTTAAACAAGAATCCATCACATTGTACATTTAACCTTCAATTTACACCAAAAAGAATAATGATGAGACAAATTAACTGAAGCCAACAACCGTGTAGTCTGTTGGTAGAGTGTTGGACTCTTAGTTCCAGTGACCAGAGCTTAAATCCTAGCAGCCTCAAGTATCAAAAAAGAAAAACTAACTAAAAAATGAAATTATGAATGCTTAGAAAAAAAGCATGGAACAGGTATTTATAACATTTATGTATAATGCATACAAACTTCAACGGTGAACAATATAACTAAATTCAACAGCAGTGACCACAATGTTAAATAAATTGCCAACCTTTTAATTGTTTTATAAACATATGCATTCATCATCAATATCAAGATATAGAACGACAGATTTCTACTTCAATGGCCAATGCAAAGCCCATACCATGATAACAAAGATTACTCTATCTCTATAGTGATTCTTGCATCACAATTTCATGTGTATCTTAAACACAGCAAACAAATGATGATTCTGAAAAAAGCAAAGAATCACAATTCAAAACATGATATTTACAGCTTATGAGGTAAGATAGAAATACCTCAAAAGTTAAAAGGTTGAAAGCAAGAATGCAACGGCGAAGAAACATCCCCAAGTTACTGTTTGGGTCCAAAATAACCTGGTCATCTTCCATAACTCCAGAATCAGGTCCCCCAAGTACTCCTACAAAAACAAAACAGTAATAAAATTAATAACAGAAAAAATAAGAAGATGATAAAACAATTAAAACAAAAATTAAAGAAAAAAAAAACCTGACCTCGCATATCATTAAAGAAATTGAACAAATCATCAGGCGATGATAAAGACGATAGTCGACTAGTTAAATGATCAGTTAACCAATGATCCAATAAACCACCGATCTCCCTCAATTGGCTTATGAGTTGCTCTAATTTTGGCTCCAAAATGTCATCACATGACTCCAACATCGAAAATTGACACCGCAAACATCAAATACTACTTTATTTTTTAATTCCCAAAGGAAAAATAATAATAATAGAAATAAATGTATTTAGATAAAAAAAAAAAAAAGCGAGCACTACTTTCGAACAAAAAAAAGGGGGAAACGTTAGAAATACCTTAGTAAGAGCTAACAAATATAGGCCGAGGCGGTTGTGCTGAGAAACGGAGGAGAAAGGGAAAGGTATGGAGATTTGAGAAGGAGAAGCGTAGATCTGAACTAAAACACAGACGGAAACTTTATGTGGAGTTATGGCAAAGGCACCCGGCGCTTTCAATACCCCCGCCATTTCTTTCTTTGCTGATCTTTTTCTCGATAATACACTTGAGGACTTTGGCTAACCAGTGAAGATAACTGAGTGAGTGAGTTTTTACTGAGGTTTTTTTTTTTTTTTTTTGAATCCGATAGACCAATTATCTACTAAAGTACCTTGGTGTTGGGGTTTCAAAAAAGTGCCGCCTAAAGTTAGAGTTATCACAACTTCATATTTTATTTTTTAGTTAATGTATGATTTTGCCCCTCAACTAAATTATTTTTCATGATTTGCAACTTACAATAAAAATGTATATTAATTATGCGAATTTTATTTTTATTAAATATTTTATTTTCTCATACTAATTTGGTTAACATTAAATATATGTAGCTAAAAAACAAGTAGTAATTATTTAATATTTGTCACGTTAATATTTTGACTAACAATATTAATTATCGATGTAAAATATTTAATAAAAATAAAATTTAAATATCTAAATGTTTAATAATTAATTTTTTATAAATATTAAATTATTAAAAGTAATATAATTTAGGAGTTAACTTATATATTTAGTCCTTTAATTTTTGGCTTAAGGGACTTCACTTGAACGAGTTAATTTATTTTCGTGGCTTTTTTCATTTTCAATCTGACTAACTATTAATTTTTTGTTTTTTAGATACTTGAATTAGTTTTTAGCTCAATTAGATTGTTTGTTACGGTAACTTAAGTAAAAGTGTTTATAAGTACTAATATTTGTTGGTTCGAATAATAAAAATTTGATTTTTTTAAATAAAATTTTAATTTTAAATATTATAAATAAAAAAATAAATTTAAAAAAATTTATCCCTTTTATAAAATTCGATCTGACTCAATTTCAAATTAATAAATATCTAAAATAATTTTCGAACATCGTAAATTCTAAAACAAAAAAATTCATAAGTTAGATTTTTTTTTCACTTTTAAAAATTTGTTTGAAGGTCAATTGATATATTTAATTATTAAAATATTAAAAATTATATATTATTATTTAAATATATTTTAACATTAAAATTAATTAAATAAAATCAATTTTCAATCAATCATATTCAAAGGCTCATTGTCATCCAATTAAATTTTATTTATGAGAAAACAAAAAATATGAAGAACAAAGTTTTAGAATTCCACGAGTTCAAAACAAAATCTAAAGAGACAAGACATCCAAGAAATCAATCTTTAAATTTTGAGAAAAATCTTCAATTTAATAACAAGTCATCGAAACTTTTTAAATGAATTTTTGCATAAAACAAGTTTTTATTTAGGAATAAGAATTTTCATATTTTGTATTTCACATTCTTTAATAAATTAGATTTTTTATTTGACTCAAAACTTTTTTTTATTTTATTTTTTTATGAAATCTTTGTTATTTATAAGATAAGTTATATTCTTAATTAATAATTATATTTGATAAAAATTAAATTTAAAATAATAATATAAAATAAAATAATTTTTTATTAAAATTTCACTATATTTAATATTTTCTACTATATTAATATTATTATAAATTTATATAAATAATTATTTTTATTATTTGCTTAAAATAATTCTCAATAATAAATACTATTATTTTTTTCTTATGATAAGCAAAAATCACAAAAACAAAATAAACAATAAAAATATATTATATATAGTCTTTTATGGTTAATATCATAGCTAATTTTTATATCTAATAAAATATTTAGTATGATAATAAGAATTTAAAAGAATTTTAATATTGTACATAAACTATAAATATATTAATTAATATAATATTTATTTTGAATATGATTAGTTCCAAATGATAATATATAATATGCAAATAACATTTTCATAATCATATTAGTTAATAAATTTATAATTTATATACAATATTAAAAATTTTTAAAATTCATATATTATATTAAATATTTTACTATATTTAAGAGTTATTTGTTACTTTAACATTTTTTATTAAATTTATTAATTTGTTTATTTATATTTATTTATTTTATATTTTATATATTTAAAATACAAAAATTAATGTATTATAAATTGTATTTACTCATAAATGCAAAATATATTTTTAAAATTTTACCAATATAACGTAAACAAATTTTATTATAATTTTTAATTTTATTACTTTCATATCCATTTTAGTATTATTTATTTTAATATTACTTTAGCATCTTATTACATTATATATTATGTAAAATTATACACTATTTTCTACAAAACAAGATAAAAAAAGTCGTCTAACTGCCGGTCTGTGCAATGAACCTAACAGTCCCGCTGTATTAAAAAAATAAAATAAAAAACACAAAAAGCCAACCAACGCAGCGTTTCTCCGAAGTAAATATTTGTTCTTTGTTTTCTTTTCTTCAGTTGAAGGAGCTTTTCCCTTGGATTTCATCCCTCATGGCCTCCAATGGTGCTACGGTAAATCCCTTTCTTATTCTTCTTCTTCTTCTTCTCCATTTTATTTTAATTGAAATTGATCTTTTTTTTGTATTCAATTTTGAGAAGGAACAAGTAGTTAGGAATGCTACCGAGAACAGTTTGGAAAAGATCAAACGGCAGCTGGCCTCTGGCTCTGGTAGGAACTTGCTTCAAGGTCCACTTCTCAAGCGATCTGAGACCGTACGATCTTCCCCTCTCTCTCTTTCTCTTTTTAATTTTTTGAGAGCATTTACAGTTGTAATTTCACCTAAATTTTCGATTTTATTATCAGTTATGGCTTTCATCAATTTGTAATCTTTTTTTATCTAAATTTTCAAGCAATTTGGTATTTTAGTATTTGTACTGTACATTGGTTTAACAGTTGAAGAAATGGAATGAACGGTGGGTGATATTAGACCCCACAACGGGCAAAATGGAATACAAGTAAGCGTTTTTCTGGGTCTTATTCTTTGTTTTCTTTGGAAGATTGAAATTAAACTTGAAATTCTGTTTTTTTAGGACTAGGAGGAACGAGCCAAGTGTTAAGGGAATCATTACGTTTGATGAAAACAGCACCATTGCCATATCTCCAGTTAACTTTCAGTATGATGATTTTCGTATTCCTCGTTTGGTTGATTGTTGCTATGAGTCTCATTCTTTGGTTGGGGATTGCTATTAACGTGTGTGTGTTTTTTTTATTATTCACTGCAGTGGACTTCCAAAGTACGAAGGCTGTTGTTTCTGTATCCAAATAATTTCTTAAAGAATAATCAAAAAGTTTTTAGGGTTATTTTCAATTATGTTACATGAAAAAATTCTGTTGCTAAACTTGCAAGCTTCTTAACTATGCCATTTAGATGTTGGGACACCCCAGAAAAAGGACTACTTTCTTTGCGCGGAGACTCCTGGTGCTGCTAGAGCTTGGGTATCAACTTTACAGTAAGTTAGATTTTTACAATGTGCTGCATTATGTCATTCTTTTTGCTATTCAGTTTTCTGTTTTCACAAGTGATATATATTTATTATTTTTTCATTTGATTGATCAAATGTGCAATATAATGCCATGTCTTGTGGATGATATGTGGTTGGTACTTGAGCTTTCTAAGAAGAGCTAAGGTAATGGATTCCTCTTAGCAGAACCCAATTCAAGCTTAACTAGATGAAGTCTATTTAAAAAATCCTATGCATGGGAGCCATATAACATCCCATCTATTTAAACAAGTTGGAGGCAGGTTTTTTTTGCTAAATAAAATAAAAAAAAAATCTAGGTTCCTCAGTTTTGGTTTAGTGTTTGATGGTTAGGATTGTGTGTTGTGCTTCTGGGATTATTTTCTTTTAAGAGAGTTTTCATGTGTCATTTGGCACGCATCATTTTTTGGTTGATAATATTTTAGATGTCAGAAATGCCTGAAATGGTGAGAGATTCAAGCTAAGGCAGAAGCATAAGTCTTATCACTCTTTACATTCTTTCAAATTGTCTGAAGATGATGGCTTATACCTTCCCTTGTATTCTGGAAAGTATACTCACCATATATTCTATGGACTTCTTTTTGCAACTCATTTTTTGTATATATGGTTGATGTTATCCTTATGTTGCTGTTTGGTTGTTTTTTCTCCCTTTCAAAAATTAGTGCGACGCAGTTGGTTCTAAAGGCGCACAAAGAGGCTGTCAATTCCTTAAGTGGGAATGGTTCTGCAAAATTAGGTACGGTTGCAGCAGTAGTTGCAGCTGCCAATTCAACGGCCAAGGAATGTTCTAAAGAAATTGAAGCAGCAATGCAGATCTCTTTGAGAAATGCCTTAGGATTGATGACAAATAGACCCACTGATGGTCCAATGGATGATCTTACAATTATGAAGGTATGCTATAAGCAGTTTCTCCTTGCAATATCTTGTGCTTGTGGGCTGTGCTTTTAGATTATTTAAACATACCCATGCTATACTTTCACAAGGTTGAAGCCTTATTCACAGACAGAACTTATTGAAAGCATATTTGAAGTGCAAAACATTTATACTTGGTAAGGTAACTTTTTCCCCAATTTTAGGAGCGGACATGTGATGCTTAAAAATTTTAACATGACTTATAGTTACTGGAGTCAAATTATCATTTTGTACTTGAAATAGTGAATTTTTTTCCCATTATGTTTCTCCTATAAACATGTAGCAGATTGCTTCTGGAAGTTAGAATTAGGTAGTTGGGAAAAAAACCTAGCATGTATACCCTCAGTTCTACTAGCTGTACTTAAAGTAGCTGGATAGATTAATGTATGCCTTCATATTTGTTGCTGAGCTGTGGGGTCAAACGCTTCTGTTGCTTTCTATTGTTTGCATTAATAAGTAATCTGTATTCTGGTTTGGTCAGATCCAGCTTGCCTTACCTGTAGCTTGCCTGCTATATGGCATGTAATTGACTGTTGGCTAAAAATATTATTTGAAATGAAATGACATGGCTACAGAAATTTGGTTGGAAATGACAAAAAAAAAAAAAAAAGAGAAAAATTATTTCAGTGCCTTAACCGAGATGGTAACAGCTTATCTTTTCCCCTCTCTTTCACCTTTTCCAACCACATAATTATTCAATTATTATATGATTCTCTACTTCCCTGGACAAGAATGCCAAGTCTTAAATGAAGCAGTTTGCCATAATTGATAATTCAGATCCATTATTGGCAGTGTACCGTGAAGATCCATGGTATATCTTATTCTGAATGATTGCAAAATCAACTCTAGCTAGCATTCTTAGGTCATGTGCCTGTTGTGATTATGAGGGCTAATTATTGTGGGCTAAATTGGAGATGGTAATGAGTGTTATGATTATGCTGGTGCCTAATAAAAACTTTATGCCAGTCCGGGCCATTGAACCTGGCGGATGATCCTGTCCTGGTCGACACCTATTAAGTGTATAAATATTATGCAATGTTTGGTTTTCTTAAGCAGGCTTTCTCACTTGGCTTCTTGTCTCCTTATTGTGGTTAGTGCTTGGTCAATTAAAGCATTTCATTATACCTAGATTTGGTTTTCTGAGTGGTAGCTAATTCTTGCAGGAGACTCTACAAGTCAAGGATGAGGAATTGCAGAATTTGGCTCGAGATCTTCGTGCTCGCGATTCAACAATAAGAGAAATAGCAGATAAACTGTCAGAGACTGCTGAAGCTGCTGAATCTGCAGCATCTGCAGCTCATATAATGGATGAACAAAGGAGAATTGCTTGCGCAGAAATTGAGCGCTTGACAAAAGATTCTGAAAAACAAAAGGAAGCATTCATGTTAAAGGTATAGCTAAAACTTAAAACTGTGTAACTCTAATCTTATTGCTTGTATGTTGATGTGATGGATTTATGAATTTAAAAGAATTATCATCCCAGAATCATACGTTTTGTGTTTCATCATTGTTCAAACCTAATTAAACAAGAGACAGTCATGTTGCTTTTCACTTTTGAGAAGTTTCTTTTAATTGCCTTGACCATTTTTATTTGGGATTCGTGATTCCTATGTACAACTATGGCTTATAATCATCATAATTGTTGTTTATTTGAAGTTTTTCCTTGGTGTTTGTAGCTGAGGGAGTCCGAAGAAAAGCTTGGGGTCCTAAGTAAAGAAAGAGATCAATTGATTAAGCAGAGAGACTCTGCTATGCAGGAGGCACATATGTGGCGTACTGAGCTTGCAAAAGCTCGAGAGCATGTTGTGATATTAGAAGCAGCAGTTATGAGAGCAGAGGAGAAGGTCAGAGTTGCAGAAACAGATGCTGACGCAAGAATTAAAGAAGCAGCACGGAAGGAGGCAGCTGCTGTGAAGGAAACGCAAGACCTTCTCGCATATGTGAATGTGTTACAGGCACATCTCCAAAGGTTTGACTTCTTTTATTTTTAAGCATTATAGCAATCATCCTGCTTTTACCCATTTTGGAAACCTTGAAACTGTGGCTTGTATATTCATGCATTTGATAAACACTGGGTTGTTTGTAAAAGAAGTTCTAGAAATAATTGACAAGACTAGTTAATTTTGTAATATACCAAGCACATCAAGAAATTCGGGAGGAAACCTCGGGATCTTTCTTGAGAATACACATCCCTCTATGTGTTTCACATAGTCAAATAGTGTGTTCCGTGGCCATCTTGACTAGCTCAAGAGGGGATGTTTGGATAGTGATCCAGGTTTGAGGGTGCATAAAAAGGTGTGTGGTTTCCTCCAACCTCCTTCTCCTCTCCTTGTCAATCTAGAAATCCAAAATCAAGACAAAATCACAGGTAGGAGAGCAAAAAGTGTTGATTAAATTCTTTTGTATGGTAACACAAACTGCCCTTTTGTTTTACCCCCTGTTGGTTGATAAATACATTTTCTCCATGTATTTGGAGCGTTTGTAAATTATTCAAAATATGCAGGCTAACGCAATAACTGAGTTAAATTTCATTTTGAGTTGACTTGTTAACATGGTTTGTTACTGCTGCTTTTATTCTTGAATAATATTTAGCTTGGTTCAGTATTGTTGAGGTACTTGTCATAGAACTGAAACTGGAAGCATAAATATACTTACTTGTGGGGTGACAAAAGTCGATAATGTCTTCTATTTTCATCCACAGACAGCAGAGTGACACTAAGCAAATTTTCGAGGAGAAGACTGAGTCCTCAAATACCAATAACAGTCCACCTGATACAAAGGATGTTGACTTGTCAGAGAACGTAGATAAAGCTTGTCTTAGTGTTTCTAGAGCGGTCCCAGTACCTGGGGAGAGCGTAGTCCACATGGCAGTGGATCAGGTTAACATCCAACCAATTGCTGATGGTGAATGGAGTGATATTCAGGCAACAGAGGCAAGAATAGCTGACGTAAGAGAGATAGCCCCTGAGACAGAAGGAAGCAGCCTTGATATTCCTGTTAGCCCAGAAATCGATAACCACCATCCGCAATGACCAAACTCTTTCCACCAGCCTTAAGAATATATATATATGTACACTCGATTTTCGGGAATTCAAGGTCACAGACAGGAGAAACTGAAAGATTCTTCTTATATTTTTCATTTTCTTCCTCAGTTCCATAATTTAAGTAATCAAGAAGCCGTTTGATGTTGTGGTGGCATGTCAATGTTATTCGTTACATCTCGAACTATAATTGAATAGAAGCAAGCCTTTGAAATAAAGTATATGGAGTCGCTTCTATTGATTGTAAATTTGACAGAAGTCTTGAAAGAATGGCCAACGTTTAGTATCAAAGTGTTTTTAGCAACGGAGGTTTCTCCTGCTGACTGGTGCAGTGAACATGAATCCTGGCAGGCACTCTTTTGCTGTTGTCAATCGGTTTGGACTTCTTGATAACGAAAGGATTGTTTGATAATGTTTGTGTCTTGTACTTTATGTTTTAGAAAATTTTATTTTATTTTATTTTTAATTTATTGAATTTAAAAATATGGTTGGATAGAATGTTTTTGTTTTAGAAAAGTGAAAAGTGAAAACAAAAACATGTAAGAGAAAGTGATTAAAGTTTTAAGGCTCTATTAATTATTAAAAATATAACAATATTATTATAATAATATTTTTTAATATATTATATTATTAATATATTATATTATTAGTAATATTATAATATATTATTTATTAAATTAATATTTATATAATAAAATATTATTTTATTAATATAATAATTATAGCGGTACTATAACGGTTTAATTATAATTTTTGTAAATAGCGCCCACGTGATAATAGTGCCAAATTATTTCTAAAAAATTGAAGACATTATTTTGTATTTTCAACAATTTTCAAAATTTTTCAAAACTTTATTTTCAGTTTTCAAAAACAGAAAATAAAAATAACCTATTAAACATGTTTTTATTTTCAATTTTTAAAAAAATTAAAAAAGAAAACAAATACAAAAACAAACGAACCCTAATCTACTTTGTTTCTCTTGCAGCTGCACTAGCTTCTTGTTCCAGCCATTGTGTTGTTTTGTTTGAACACAAGCTGTGTTTTATCTGTTTGTCACAAAAACAAAGGACTGCTCTTGCACTCGAGTATTTGACTTACAAAATTAACAGTAAGTTTATATATATATATATATATATATATATCGCTACATAGAGAAAATATTTCAACATTAATCAAAATTATATATAATATTAACCAGAATTTCGCTGCCAAAATGATATAACTTGAAAAACATTATCATACAATGTTCATAAACTTAGAAATATATAAAGTTACTTATCATGCATATATAAACATTCTCTCTGCAAATTCATCATTACACTAACTAATTTAATCAACTGAAATTGTAAAAAAAAAAAAAAAAAAGGAAATCAAGAATAATATTGCCTCTGTAGCTGTTTTCTCTTTATCATCTCCTTCATTTATTCTTTCTTAATTATTTAAGTATTTCACACGTTCACCTTCACCCTCCGCCAATTCCTTGTCTGAATTCTGACATGTAATTTCAGTCATTCATGGCACTGCTTTATCTGTCGACAACCAATATTATTACACGTACTGATTCATAACCCTTAAAATTCCTGTTATGGCAGTTCATTATAAAAATGCTATAGTTGCCTGCCATAATACGTGCATGCTTGCTTGCTTCTATGTACGATCAAAGGCTGAATGACCGGGGTAGGGTTCAAGGGCTAGCTCAACCAAAGGTCTTAGCTCATCCCAATTTCCATCGGTAAAGACATCGAGGTTGCCATTCGGATTCCAAAAGCTGGGGTAATTAGTAGCTGAAAATGGAGCCTGTTGTGCTATATAATTGGTGGATGACCATGGAGTACCTCCCAAAAGGAAGTAGTTTCTTGCATCAACTTGGTCCATAAAAATATTCGGTGTGCTGTCATTTTGTTGGACCGAGTCACAAAAAGTCATGCATTGCTCATTACTATTTTCAGAGTCATCTTCCAGGCTGCTGCATGTTTTGGAATCGGCTCCATTTTGATTGATTCTGGCATCTAATTTCCAAGCATTTGCAACTGCTGCAGCTGCTGCGTACTTCTTGTTTGATGGGGTTCTTTTGAAAATTCGACAAAGTGTCCAAACTTCCTGCACGTTAAGAAAAGAACTAGACAACATCATAATTGTCATTTCTAAGTAATTTCGAACAGTCTTTAAATTTCTTAGTTTGGCAACTAAATGACTACGAGAAACTGAAGACGTCTAAAGAAGATCAGATCAAAATTTGACCTACAGATGTAAAGTTTGAATATCCAGGAGCACAAATTGACAGCAAAAAAACAAAAATATCAATCAAACCAAGTTTGGTTGATATCTTTTGCATTTTCTTTTTTTTTTTTAACAATCTATAAGTTTTTATCATAAATTTTGGTTTTCATCCTAATTAAAGCGAATAATTTATGTTGTGATTTAATTGAATTTGAACTTACAGCTTCTTGGGCAATTGGTGGAAGTCGAAACTCATGCATCATCCAATCGGTTTTGGTGCCCTTACCGGCGCTACCTCGATAGTAGACGAGGGATTTCTTGAGGCCAATGCAGATGGGTTGTTTCGCAGAATAGATGGGCTTGTCGATTCCGGTGGCCTTCCAAAACCCCGATCCTGTCACTCTGTTTGGCCTTATGCTGTTTCTGTACTTTCTACCTCTTATGCAAAAGAAATACCACTCTTTGTCTCCCACACTGCTAATTTCTTCTTTATCAACAACACCGTCACATCAAGTCACATACATCTCAACTTAATTAATGTAATGTATAAAAGATATAGTTAATGCAAAGATTATTGATAAAATAATATGATAATTATTTTATATTATATTTGATTTGTGTTAAAAAAGAGAGATAAAAATTACAAGAATGATTAATATTTTTTGGTATGAGATTATTTAATCTTTTTTAAGTGAAAATAATTATTTATAATTCATGAAATTAAACTTATATATCTAATTATTTTTTAAAAATTATATTAATAATTTAAATTATATAAATTTTAAAAAATATATAATTTTAATAAATAAATTATTTTATTCTATTCTTTACATATATCTAACATGAAATAAGATGATATTATTTAATCTAATCTTATTTATAATATTATCTTATCTTATTCTATTATAATTTTGTATACTAAACATTATTTTTTATAATATTGGATAAATTTTCTATTGAATTATAGATAACAAATTAAACATGCACTCAAAATTCTAGCTACATTGATTGTTATGTTGCACTTGATTAATCCTCCATATTAATTCTAATTGTTCTAAATTAATTTGATTTCTTTATGCTTATTATTTTCGGTGCATAGGGTGGTTACAATTCAAGATTTGACTTTCTGCGCTCCTCTTTGTGATTTAGAATTCATTTAGATTTGTGAAGAGAGAATTTTAATTATGTTTTGCATGTTATTTTATTCCTTGAGTTCTTCGAGGTTCAATCATAAAATTATAAGCAATTTCAATGCGATGGGAGTTTCTCTCACCATGCAACCAAAGACTTTATTAATCCAAAAACTCATCTTTATTTGAATTTTGAATAAAACAAAAAAAAAAAAAGTTTTTTTCTAAAACTCCTTTTGGACCATGATAACTGTACGCAATGTTTGAATTAATCCAAGGTCCTTATTTTCTTAGAAAAGGAAACATGTCATAATGGTCTAATTAATTAATTAAACCAGTTTGACAAGGCATTCCCTTGTCTAGCAATTTTAATTTTTTTAAGTATATTTACTGTTATGGTAGGCCAAAGAATGATGAAAACCGACATCTCCCGACTAAGAAGTTACACACAAAAGAATAGGAAATTTTTCATGGAAGAATACCAAAATTTCCTTCAATTTTACTTTTATCTTGAAATAAGATATCTTTAAATTTACTTGAACTTTTATGTAAAAAAAAAAAAAACTTGAAATAATAAAAAAATTATTGAACTTTACCATCTTACTTAGATAAATTTTATATTTTTATTGTATTTAAATAAATCGCTAACCTTTAATTTGTACCAAATAAGTCTTAAAGCTTTAATTGTATTTAAATAAATTTTTAATTTTTAGTTTATGCCTAAATAAACCCTTAACATAAATCAATATTTTACTTGAAATAACAGTTTATGTAAATATAAATAAAAGAATAAGAATTTATTTGAGTATGATAAAAATATAGGAATTTATTTTTAAAAATGGAAATAGTTCAAAGGGGTTTTTTTTTTTTTTTAATATTTTAACCTAAAAAAACCTGCCACTAAGTTCCCTTTTATATATGTTCGATATTGATCTTCGGAGTACTGCTATACATGTTTTGTTTTTCCCTTTCTAATATGTTTAAACTCTTTCTGGTTTCGATCTTGTTTCACATTGTATCTTCTTGATTATATTTTTATTAACTATTTCAGTTTGGCGGAGCCGCAAAGGAAGAAAAAAAAAAATCCCCAAGGAAAAATCCAATTCAATTTTCCTATTCTTGCAAGGCACATGAATGTAAAAACTCAAACATGGTTATCATTTTTATTTTTTTTTGTGTGTGAAGAAAATTTCTGCATGTATGGAGTTTTTTTTTTTTTTTTTTTTGAACTAAGAAAGATGGAGGTCATGTGTTTTTGTGTTTTAAACAACATGTCAAAAATCCTTTTTGAACTAAAAAAGATGGAGGCTATGTGTTCTTGTTGTTTGAAACAACATATCAAAAAATTTTTTTGAACTAAAAAAGATGGAGGCTATGTGTTCTTGTGTTTGAAACAACATGTCAAAAATCAACCAGTAGTTGCTCAATTATATAAGCTTTTATCATGGACTGCAATTACTCTATAAGTCAAAATCAATATTGTTAACAATTGTTTAGCTTTTTTTTTAAAATGTTATATAACATTAAAATTTTTTAATACAAGATATCAGAAACCAGTCATTTGAACATTTTAAAAGTTCTACCTAAATCTCACTTATTTCTAACACTTGAACTATAAAATATGTGTACACGATCGAACTCATCAAAGATTATAACAACAACCCTTGTTACGAAATGACTGATGTTTCTGCAAATTAACCCCTTGCCTGCACGTGAGAAAGGTGTTAAATATTTAATATTTCACCTCTTCAAATGTCAAGTCACGGGTTCAATATCGTTTTGCTCTCTCTGATCATAACTTATTTCCTAGTAGAAATAGTTTTATAAGTATTTTGCTTTACTATCCATGGCTGATGATAAAACGAAAAACCTACGTTTTCATTAATTCAAGCAAGTTTAGGTATTAAATTCTTCTTACAAATTAACAAATTATGTAATTTATTAATAAAATATTAAACTTTTAATTTTAACGATCAAAATTCTTCATAATCTTAACAATCTTAAAAAGTGATTTCTTATGCAAATAAGATAAATATCAATAGATACTTTAATTAGTTGGCCTAGAGTTTGACCTGCAGGCATGATGGTTCAAAAACTTTAAGCTGATTAACCTTAGTTTGTTTACACAAACAGTTGAAGAAAGAAGTGAAATGGAATTAGCAGATCATATACTTACTTGGAAGATCCCATGGATCGTATTTGTAGATATCAACCTGTTTGATGATTTCAATACTGAGAGGTTTCTTCTCAACCTTTCTCCGCAGATAAAATCCGACAAGTTCTTCGTCTGTTGGGTGAAATCGAAACCCTGGAAGCTTAACTTCATCATCCTTCTCCTTCCCCTTCTGATCAGTAGGATTCATCTTTGTTGCCATGATGAATCTCTCTCTTTTTCTCTCTGTTTAGCTATGGTATTTTTCTCCTTTAACCCAAGTCTCTCAAAGTCGCAAAGCATTAGCTTCTTATAGCAGCAGATAAATGAATGCTTGGGGTCAAGATAAGACTTCTGATTAAGAGATTTTTTGCAGTCTGGCTAAAGGAAAAAGAAGTCTTCCATTAGCTAATATTTCCTAACCTTAATTAGATAAATTAAAAATTAATTATTATGTTATGTATAGTGATTTCTTAAAATATATCAAATCTATTAATAAAAAAAATATATGCAAACATATAACAACAAAAATTACAATTATAAATATGTTAATATGTAAAAATATATAATAAAATGGATATATTAAATAATGGTTTCACAATTTCTAATTATAAATCATTAACAATATTCTTTATAAAAATAAAATCATTTTATTTTTTTTTACAATATTAACACATTCTTTTATCATATTTAATATTTAAGTATCAAAGTGAAAAAATCACAAAAATATTTTTTTGTAATTATATATCCAATATAAATATATAAAATAAAGAATAATATATATCAACACAATAAACTTAAGTTTGAGGGGATCAAACTAGTTTTTTTATTAAAAAATTTCAAATTTATTATAAAAATAATATATGTATAAAAAAATTCAAAATTTTTTGAGGACCATGACCCCCCTTCGCTCTTTAAAGGATCTGCCATTGATTATATGATTATTTGAAAAAAGCTTAAATGATTTAAACTTTATTTTTTAGATTTAAAATTATTAAAAATCAAACTTTAATTATTGAAATTAAAATTTTAATATTTTATTAATATATTACAGAGCAAATAATTTAATTTTTAAAGCTAAAAAAAAAAATGTATTGAGAAGTATAATTTACAGATACAAGGAATTGTAATTATAATACCTTATGGAAGTCAAGTCAAGTAGGCAAAGGCAATTGACTAGTACAATCCATGTGATGACACTTGCACTTATGGGTTGAAAATTTAAACGAGAAACTTTCAAAGGGACCATTCTTGTGAAAAATATCTTCACAAATGGCACCTTCAAACAAAATCTTCTAGTATGAGTTGAGAAAATAATTTATTAATTTGTTTCAAGTTAAATGTCCATTTGTTAAATAATAACCTCATAATTCACAAATAATTTTGGCTATTTTCAACTTAAAAATAAAAGGTTTTTTAATCTATGAGTTAAAAAAAAAGTTATAATATTTTCTTAGGTTTTGCTAACGACTTGTACTCTGAAAATTTTAAAGTTGCTACATAAAGTAATTGATTATTTTAATGTATTCAAATTCACGACATTAAACATTAACTATCACATTTAATAAAAAAGTTTTACTATAAATAATATTTAATTAACCTTAAGAATATTTGCATCGTATTTTCAGTATATAAAAAGGAATGAACTTACTCTGTGTAAAATTAAAAAAAAATTATATATTTTTTAATTACTGATTTTAATAAATTTATAAAAAAAAAAAAGGTTTAATTTCATCTTTTGGATATATTAAAATCAATGATTAAAAATGTGTAAAATTTTTTTAATTTTATACTGTGTAAATTGATCCATATATTTGAGAAAGGTTAACTTATACAGTATAACTTTTTTTTTCAGTTTTACATATTATTTAATCATTAATTTTAATAAATCTAAAGGAGATGAGAGATAAGTAAAAATAGAAAAAATGATTTAATCGCGTCTCTTAAATTTATTGAAATCAATTGTTAAAAAAAAATGTAAAACTAAAAAAGAGTTATATTATGTAAATTAACCCTCCTCGTGTATTTATATATATATATATATATGTATATATATTAGAATAAAACTTGCCTACATCATGGTGACATGGTCAATCCCTTTGCACTAACTAAATATATGTTTTTTATTTATTTCTTTTTTCTAAAAATAATATATTAACTTTTTTGGTGCCGAGCTATTTGTGACGGTAAATCCTAAAATCACAAGAGAGTAAAATTGGTCAATGACAAAAATCAAAAGTTTTTTTTTTTACGTTTGTGCTCTGAAACTCAAGTCGGTACTCGATCAAAGAGTGAAAAGGATGAAAAGGCAGAAGGTAAGTATGGAAACTAGAGTTCCAGTTAGTTTAGGAATACCTGAAAATGGGACCTATGTGATGGGGGGCACTGGATTTAGTGGCTTGAGCTCTAGGTAACGAAGTAAGGGTTGACATCGTAAGCCAAAGCTAAGCTGGTAGTCTGCAATTTAATTGAGGATGACAAATCATCGTCCTTATGTGTTAACAGGTGATCAGCTGAGATGGCTAAGCAAACATAAAATTCGAAAATTCAAATTAAATTAACATATTAACTCAGTCAAATTAATCAAATTACCCTCATTTGACAAATGATTTATACATTGGAGTGAAAGGTCCATTTCCCCCTTGAATCCTAAAATGCCCTTAACAAATTTGATTTGGAATGTAGTTTGTTGTAACTACAAGACAGCTGAATAGTCATCCTTAATGGGCCATGACTTTAGAGAGATATGTAGCTTGTTAGAATTTTGTTTGATTATGGAAAAGGTTAGGATTATATCTATCTTATATAAAACCAGATCTGAAGTCTACATGCTTTCTTAACAAACTTCGGTATGGTCAGTTTCAATGGAAGGATACCAACTAAATAGTAGCCTCATTTCACAATAATAAAATATATAAATATTTATTTATATATAAAAATAAGATTTTTTAGGTTAAATTCACAAGATTCTCAAAAAAAATCGAAAATCAAACAATAGCTTGAGTATAAAATCTGAAAAAAAAAATTGAATAAGCTTTGATACTTTATGAAAATTGATATTGTTATTAAAATTTTTTATAATTAATTTTCACCGTTTAATAAATATTATTTAAAATTTGTGTATGGTTACTATTTTTAATTAGATATATACATATTTTAATCTTCGCATTGAATTAATATATAAGTCAATCAATTTTAATTTTTAATTTTTTATATTTTATTCTTTTTAATAAGAAACCTCTCCAATTTTATTGAAAGAATTAAGCTTATATAATTTTGTCCTTTTTGCCTTATATAAATTGCAAGGGAAAGGTAGGATTTATGTTTGGCTCCACTTCATTATTTTCAATACATCTATTATTATCGTTTTACATTTCTCTCTCATATATATATAGAATCTAATTATGAATTATGGATCATAATAATTGATAATGTTACCCTCGATCTGTTGACGAGTAGATGACAACGATAATGGAAAAATCGAGGCGTCGAATTATCGGATTTGAAGTTTTTTTTTTTTTTTTTGCCAAAGTATCTGATTTGAAGTTCGCTAATCATTGAAAATTTGTTAATTGATAGCTTTAAATTGATGTGCAATTGTGCAACTGTATGGTTAGAAACAAAAGCTAGCATTGTATGACAGTGACAATTTAATTTTAATCTATTTTTTTAATTTGAGATTTGACAATTTTAGTAGTTGTACATTGTAGACCTGAAATTTTAACTCAACAGAAATATATATTCACGAAATGTTTAAAAAATAAAAAAAAATAGAGATTCACTTGTATCAATGTTAATTTTATTTTTTTTTATTTGATTAAAATTAAATTCAAAATTAATTTAAATCAAATTAATATTTTAATCTATATCATTTTAATATGAGTCAAAAAATAATGTAAAACTTGTGGATTCTTCCTCAATAAAATATATGTAATTATATTTAAATTTTATTTATAAAAAATTATCATGTTGAATTTTTAATTTTAGTAATTAAAATTCAATCATGATAATTTTTTTTGATAAAAAAATCCGGAGATAAATAGATTGTTTAATCTTCAGATCATGGTAAGATGTATCGTACCTAACAACTTAAAACAAATGGTTGTAAGTTATACATTCGAGATGATCCTAATATGTGAGCACCAACAAAACTCAAACCTAAAATTTTTTGATTCGAAAAAGATAAACTTAATTGATTCAATTAATCACTTGTTGTTGATCATGATAATTTGAATTAAAGAATAAGTATTCTTATAGATTCTTTGCTGAATACAAGTTCACACAGAGAGAAGTGATAAGTCAAAAATGTTATACAACGAGATTCTATTTAAAAGAAAAAAAAATATAAATAACCACAGTCAAATAAGCTCGGCCGGAACCCAAAACATATAAAAAAATAAACAAGAGTTTGGCAAGAAAAAGAAAGGATTTGATCGGGATTGTTCTAATTGAATGTGATTTTAACCTAAAATGAGGAGATTAAATTGAAGAAATAGGTCGGTTCCAATCATTTGAGAAAGTAGGTGAGAATGCATGGCATGCAGAAGAAAAGTGTATAATTCACAAGCCTAACAGTCTGATTCCATTTTCCCTTTCGGCAGGAAACCATGATTTAATCATGCTTACGCATTACAATAATTTATATTTGGGTAAATTTCGTCTTCGTTTCATGTGATTTCAACTTTTTTTGCACTTAGCATGTTCTTTCTTTGTCAATTAGGTTTTTTTGCATAAGTTTCGTTCTGGTAAGAGTTACACCATTTATTTATCTGATAAAATTATGAATATACCCTTAAATAATTTTTGAATAGAGGGTTCTTATTTTTATATAAATTTGATGGTGTAACCCTCGTGTAAATAGAACTTAATCAATGGATACTAATTGAGTAAATTTAAAAAACTCAATCACAAATTTGTGTTATTATATTATGAACTTTCTGTCTTAGATACATTTATATTTAAATTCAGAATTTAACCATAATCGTTTTAAATAAATAGCATTTAATAGGTTTAAAATTTAAATATCAATAATTATAATAATTTTTCTATTTTCAAATTACGATTTCATTTATTAAATAAATATTTATATTTTAAATTTCAAATTTATCATATAAAAATTTAAATATTTATATGCAATACACATGACTATTAACACCAATATATATCAAACATAAATCATATTATTGAGAAGGTAATTAAGGCAATTATTTATTTTTAATTTCGTGGGCAATTTAATTTATAGAAAATCAAAGTAGCCAATGTTGTCCTTTGAGGACAAAGCTTCTACGAGGTCCAGATAACAGTGGAATTTGTGCTTAGAATGGGAAAAACAAAACCATGCCAAAGACTAGGGGTGAAAAAATGGGAAAATGTATTTGAAATTGTA